AAGATTTTCGTGTTTTTTTTTTGTTTATAGCGCCGAAAATAAAAAGCGCACAGGTGATCAAATACCACCAAAAGAAAGCTCCATTTGTGTGAAGAAAAGGACGTAAATTTTGTTTGGGTACAGCATTGCATGACCGCGCAATTATCATTTGAATTAGTGCAGCGCCAAACAGCAAAAAAAGGCCTGGTCATTAAGGGGGGTAAATCCTCTGGGGCTCAAGTGGTTAAAGTGGTTGTATAGGCTGAAGGTTTTTTTGACCTTCATGCATTCTATGCATAAAGGTAAAAAATGTTCTGTGTGCAGCGACCCATACCAGCCCTCCCCAATACTTATCCATTGCAATCCAGTGATGTGCACGAGAGTCTCGGCTCTCTGGGGATTCTCCCTCCTCATTGGCTGAGAAAGCAGCGAGAGTCAATGAGCCAATGAGGAAAGAGAGGGGGGCAGGGCCGAGCCACATCTCTGTGTGTGAATGGACACACAGAGCAGCGGCTTGGGAGCAAGCCTGCTTGGGTGCCCCCATAGAAAGCTGTTTGCTCTGGGGCACTTGGCAGGAGGGATAAGCCAGGAACGCTGTCAAGGTACCTGAGAAGAGGAGGATTGGGGCTGCTCTGTGCAAAACCATTACACTAAGCAGGTAAGTATGACATGTTTGTTATTAAAAAAAATATATATTGCTTTTAACCACTTGGCCTCCTGAGGATTCCCCCCCCCCCCCTTCCCTTCCTGACCAGGCCATTTTTTGCATTACAGAACTGTGTTATTTTGACAATTGCGCGGTCATGCAACGCTGCACCCAAATGACATTTAAGTCCTTTTTTCCCACGAATTGAGCTTTCTTTCGGTGGTATTTGCTTGCCTGTGCGGTTATTTTTTGCGCTATATAAAAAAAAGACTAACAATTTTGAGGAAAAAAAAACAATATTTTTGACTTTTTGCTATTAAACATGTCCAGTAAAAAAATTTAAAAAATCAAATTTCATCATAAATTTAGGCCAAAATATATTCTGCTCCATGTCTTTGCTAAAAAAAATCCCAATACGTGTAAATGAATTGGTTTATGTGAAAGTTATAGCGTTTACAAATGGCGGTATAGATACTGGGATTTTTTTGTACTAGTAATGGCGGCGATCAGCGACTTATAGCGGGACTGCGGCGGACATTCTGACACGGGGGAGAACTGACTTGGTGTCACTGACATCCCCCGTGACACCAATACAGTGATCAGTGCTAATAAAAAGCACTGATGCTGTACTAATGGCTCTGGGCAGGAAGGGGTTAACATGAGGGTGATCAAAGGGTTAACTGTGTGCTGGGAGTGTTTTACTAGGGGGCGGGGTCAGTGTGCTTCACTGTAATCACACTGCTCTGGATGGTTGTGCTGTGCAGTGTGCCCGAGCTGACAGGGAGGAGGAATGTTAGTAAACAAAACAGTCCTCCTCCCCATCGGAGATCTTCGGAAATCACCAGGCACCAGCGAGTAATTACCGTCCGGGACCCGGTTGAATGGCGGTGCGGGTAGGGTGCGCGTGGCTTGCGCTGCACCCCTACCCAGAAATGCAAAATCACGTATATATATACCCGTGCCGCCCTGTTGGAGTATTTCTGCTATAGGGCGGACGAGAAGCTGTTAATATCACTTTAAGAATACATACTGGAATAGAATGTTTTGTTTTTTTTTCTTTTAAAGTTTAATGTTACTTTAACATGCTTTCAGGTTGGGAGAGCAGAGAGGTGACCTCATCAGTTCGCTGATCCTTCATTGTCCAATAAGCAAATGGGACTGTGAGTCACTACTTAATTCATATGTAATATTCAAATCAAGCTCCCCCATCCATGGCTCCATGCTTTTGTGTGGCTCAGAAATCACTTTAAAGAACGTTCCCCTAGCATTTCTGGCCGTGACCATCTTGAGTAAGGGCAGATGATTCATGTAGCAATTAACCTCCTGGAATCCATCTGCCCTTAGCTCAGGCATGCAGACAGGAGAGTGTGCTTAGCTGATAAACCCCCTCCTGAAATCTCCTGGGATGTATGACATCATTTGCCTAGGCGTGAAAACCAGGAAGTAACTAAAGAAATGTCAAAAAAAGAAGTTTAAAACGAGTAAATATAATATGCTTTCCTATCTATTTACTGCTAGCAGTAATAATGCCGGTCATAGACGGGTCAAAAATCTTGGGTTAATTGGTTGGCTGTTTTTCGGGTTTTTTGCACAGTTTTTTTATCAGTCATGTTGAAAAATGTGCGGCCAATTTGTACGATCGGCTGATTTTCCCGGCAATGATGGGCAAATAGGCTGATCGTTTTACCGATAAAAAAAGTCTGCGCATGAGCTGTGACCTGCAAGGAAGAAGAAGAAAGAAAAGGAAGAGGAGGAAGAAGGAGGAGGAAAGGAGGAGGAAGATGAAGAAGAAGGAGGAGGAGGAAGGAGGGGGAGGAAGATGAAGAAGAAAGAAGAAGGAGGAAGTAGGAGAAGGAGGGAGGAAGATGAAGAAGAAAGAAGAAGGAGAAGTAGGAGAAAGAAAGAGGAGGAGGAAGAAGGAGGAGGAGGAGGAAGAAGGAAGGAGGAGGAAGGGGCAGACTGACCATTTGGAAACTTGGGCACTGCCCGAGGGCCCGGGGTCAGTAGGGGGCCCCATGAGATGCCCCTGGTACCTTATTCATAGGCTTTTTTGAGTTTGGGGAAGGACACAGGGGCCCCATGATCCCCTATTACCCGGGGGCCCCATGATTTGTCAGTCCGCCCCTGAGGAGGAGGAAGAAGAAGACCTCACAAGCAGTGAATTCAGTGCACCATTCCCAGTCCTGGCCTTTGCCTGCCCTGTGACTGCTCTGTACTGCGCTATGGAATGTACAGGTGTCACTGAACGGCGGCTCCGTTCTTCTTCCGCTATTATATTTTATATGAAGAAGTTTTGCGGTTGCAACAAATGTATCCATTAGTATCCGAATAAAAACATAATGTATTTGTATTGCTGTCACATTATATGGTGCGCTCCCCTGTCTCTGTCAAACTGGCTTCTTGTCCCAATCTTTCATGAGCATTGGTGGCGGCATCGGCAACGGCACCGACCAATTTTTCGTTTATCGGCCAACTATTCGGCCGATAAACGGCCCTTCTATGGCCTGCATAAGGATTCGAAATAGTCAATGTTGATTGAGAGAGTAAATTTCCACTGTAAAGTTTCCATCCAAATCCACTTCCCTGTGTGTGACGTATCGTTTGAATGGGTTGTGGACTATAGATCATTTATCTTTATTGGAAGAGATTGTTCAGAAAAGAAATAGACCATTTATTGCAGCTTCTATGGCCACCATCAGGGGCGGCCTGACCATTTGGAAACTCGGGCACTGCCCGAGGGCCTGGGGTCAGTAGGGGGCCCCATGAGATGCCCCTGGCACCTTTTTTATAGGCTTTTTTGAGTTTGGGCAAGGACACAGGGGCCCCATGATCCCCTATTGCCTGGGGGGGCCTCATGATCCCCTATTACCCGGGGGCCCCATGATCCCCTATTGCCCGGGGGGCCCCATGATCCCCTATTGCCCGGGGGGCCCTATGATCCCCTATTTCCCGGGGGCCCCATGATCCCCTATTGCCCGGGGGGGCCCCATAAGTTGTCAGTCCGCCCCTGTCCATAACCCTGGGGGGGGGGGGGGGGGGGTTGGCTACAGCTGCATATAACTTACCTGCAATGAAGCGTATCCCACATCCTTCTGATTGCTTCTTAGCGTGCGAATGTTCCCTGCAATGATGACAGGTCCCCTTTACAGTTCTGAACCTTCGGATCTGCGTTGGTTAACTGCTTGGGGTCTAACATTGCAGTACCTTGAAGTAGTCCCAACACCCACTGTTTCCATTGTTTTTAAAGAATAACATGTTCTGTGAGTGGAGGAGGGGATCCTGTCATTCACCCTCCCTCCCCCATTCACAATGTAAGGAGTTTTCTGAACCCTCTAAGTGTGTAGGAGTAGAGTTGGGGAGATCTCATTACTGGAAAATCCAAGGCATAGAAGAAGCCAGGGGCTGACTTAGCCCACCAGACTTTGCCTATCAATGCAATATCATTTTCACGGCGCCAGCATGGCAGCATCCTACCACATGGATCGTTGGCAGGAAAGGAAAATTACTGTACGTATTTGATACGCTTTTCAATTTTTGACCCTTTAACAAAAATATCTGCCTCCAAGAAGTGTTCTGTATAATCATCGGTGGTGACATTCACCTTTGCGATGACCTCCATCTAATTTATAGGCCATAAATCTAAGGGTCTATTAAAGTGGTTCTAAAGGCAAAATTTTTGTTAAAAAACAAAAAAAAAAACCCAAACATGTTATACTTACCTGCTCTGTGTAATGCTTTTGCACAGAGCAGCCCTAATCTTCTTCTTCTCGAGTCCCCTACTGGCGCTCCTGGCCCCTCCCCCCTGCTGAGTTCCCCCAAAGCAAGCGGCTTGCTATGGGGGCACTGGTGAGTGCTCGCTCCCAAGCCGGCTCTATTTATTCATAAGACAGAGCATGACTTGACTCCGCCCCCACTCTCTGCTTACTGGCTGTGATTGACAGCAGCAGGAACCAATGGCTCCCACTGCTGTGTCTAAGTCTATGAGGAAGGAGAGAGACGCTGCTCTCGTGCACATCTCTGGACTCAGGTGAGGGCTGGGCTTGAAGAGGATGCATGCAGAAAGTTTATTTTACCTCTTCATGCCGGCCGTACGCAAATGTGCTGTCTCCCAGCGTCTGGGCCTAGACGCCGAGCGGCCGCACATTTGCGTTCTGTTAAAAAAAAAAACATATGTGCTGAGAGCCTGCGTATTCCCAGCACACATGTCCGGTACTCACGGAAAGGTCCCGATTTCCTCTTTTGATCGAGACCTTTCCCGATCACGTGATGGCATGCCACGGCGGTCACATGACCCTAAACCCCACCCCACCTCCCGGCTTCTGAAACCCTTATAGGGCCAGGAGGCGTCGGCGCCAAGGGGTGAACCACTTTCCGACCGCCCTACAGCAGAACTACTGCTACAGAGTGGCAGGGCTGTTCAAAATCACACACATATACATATATATATATGTGATGTTGCATCCCCGGATAGCGGGTGCGCGCTGCCCTTCCCACCCTGCCATTGGTGGCTACAGCTGTCCATCCCCGGGTCCCGGGAGATTCCCCGCCGTTATGCGACGATCGGTGAGGAACGCTGACGGGGGAGAGGTTTGTATGTAAACAACACAGATCTCTCCCCTGTCAGCTACAGCACGCTGCTTTGTATTGCTCAGCATAGCCGCAGTCCCGCTATAAGTCGCCGCCATTACTAGTATAAGCACACAGTTAACCCTTTGATCGCCTCTCATGTTAACCCTTTCCTGCCCAGTGCCATTAGTACAGTGTCAGTGCTTTTTATTAGCACTGATTACTGTATTGGTGTCACTGGGGATGTCAGTGACACCAAGTCAGCCCCCCCCCTCCCCAGTGTCAGAATGCCCACCGCAGTGCCGCTATAAGTTGCTGATCGCTGCCATTACTAGTATAAAGAAAATATATAAATAAAAATTTCCAGTATCTATACCGCCAATTGTAGGTGCTATAACTTTTAAACCAATTAATTTATATGTATTGGTATTTTTTTTTTTTTTTCTTAGCAAAGACACAAAGCAGAAAACATTTTGTCCTAAATGTATGCCGAATTTTGATTTTTTAACATTTTTTTACTGGACATGTTTTATAGCAAAAAGTAAAAATATTGGTTTTTGTTTTCAAAATTGTCGGTCTTTTTTTGGTTATAGCGCAAAAAATAAAAATCACAGAGGTAATCAAATACCACCGAAAGAAAGCTACATTTGTTTGGATAAAAGAGACAGAAATTTCATTTGGGTACAGCGTTGCATGACCACGCAATTGAAGAAAAACAGCCACAAAAGCATGATGCTGCCACCACCATGCTTCACGGTGGGTATGGTGTGCTTTTGGTGATGTGCATTTTTTTTTTTGCAACAAACATATCTTTTGGAATTATGACCAAAATATTCACCCTTGGTCTCATCAGACCAGAACACATTTTCCCACATGCTTTTGGAAGACTTTTGTTTTTGCAAAATTTAGCCGGGCTTGGATGTTGTTCTTCATAAGAAAAGGCTTCCGTCTTGTCCCTCTACCTCATAGCCCAGCCATATGAAGAATACGGGAGATTGTTGTCACATGGACCACATGGCCAGATCTTGCCAGATATTCCTTTCATGCTGCTGTAGGCCTCTTGGCCGCCTCCAAGACCAGTTTTCTTCTCGTCTTTTCATCCATTTTGGAGGGTCGTCCAGTTCTTGGTGATGTCATTGTTGGTGATGTCACTGTTGCACCATATTTTTCCACTCCACTTGATGATGATGGTCTTCACTGTGTTCCATGGTATATCTAACGCCTTGGAAATTCTTTTGTACCCTTCTCCTGACTGATACCTTTTAACAATGAAATCCCTCTGATGCTTTGGAAGCTCTCTGCAGATCATGGCTTTTGCTGGAGGATGCGACTAAGAAAATGTCAGGAAAGACCGACTAGAACAGCTGAACTTTATTTGGGGTTAATCAGAGGCAGTTAAAATGATAGCGGGTGTGTACTGACTCCTATGTAACATAATTTTGTATGTGATTGCTTAATTCTGAACACAGCTACATCCCCAGTTTTATAAGAGGGTGTGGACACTTATGCAACTACATTATTTTAGTTTTTTTTTTGTTTACTTCCCCCCCCCCCCTTAGGATTTCAGATTGTTTTTCAACTGAGTTGTACAGTTTATAGGTCACACTAAAGGTGGAAAAAGTTCTGAAATGATTTATCTTTGTCTCATTTTTTACATCACACAAACCTGACATTTTAACAGGGTGTGAAGACTTTTTCTATCCACTGTAAATGAGACCCTCGCACAGGTGTACGCTGTTGTATTCCCATGTGAGCAAGACCTTAATGCAACACAATGCACTGCAAAGAACATTGCTTTGCTACATTCTAGACTACTTGAAATTCCACTGCGGTTACTTCCCACGCCGCCGTCTCTGATACCGCCATACTGCAACATGGAACCTGGTGTGAGACCATCGGTATATTAACCATTTTCCAGAGTTTTCCCAGAAACATCGTGTTAACCATTCACCTGCCAGCCTCCTTAATTTCTGGAAAAAAAAAAAAACCCAGACGGGTTGCAGTTACCATAGAAACAAGAGCGATAGCTGGAATGAGTATTTCTCTATTAGGATCAGACAGTTAAAAAAAAAAATTGTCATGGGAACTTTTTTTCTTTTTTTTTTAAAGCATTGAAAAGAACAGCACATGAAATTTCTAAATGAAGGCTGGTCTCTTTTTTTTTTTTCTTCCTACGTGGCCGCACGCTCAGCCCGGCAGGAATTCCAGCCGCGAATTCTCCCGTTAGAGCGCAAAGAGGAAGCCGAGAGCAGGAAGCAGCACTTCCTGTCCAATACTTCCTGGAGAAAGGAAACAAGGACAATGTTCAATGATGGGGGGGGGGGGGGGGCAGACAATCGCTGGGTGGTGTCTGACAGGACAATCGATCTTTTCATCCGACGGACGGGAAAATGGCGGAATAATAGCACTCTTGTGCCTGGGCTGTTTAAATGTATAAACCTTTCCTGGTACAGAGAATGGAATGATCGCTGGGTGTTACCAAAAGGCAAAAGAGAAAAAAAATACACAGATATGGATGACATTTAGTCGCAGGTTTGCGATCTCAATGGCCCGGCCAGGTCCCTGACCTCTATTTCCTTTAGGTCATAAAGCATGGTCACTGGCACGCCCCCTGTCTGCTCACTGGACAATGAAGGATTGTCCCACTGATGAGGTCATCCCTCTGCTCTTGCAACCTGGAAGAACATTAACCCCTTCAATACCGGGCGCTTTCACCCCCTTCCCGCCCACACCATTTTTCAGCTTTCAGCGCTGTCGCACTTTGAATGACAAATACTCAGTCATCCAACACTGTACTCAAATGACATTTTCTTCATTTCATTTTTTTTTTTAGACAAATAGAGCTTTCTATTGGTGGTATTTTATCACCATGGGGGGGGGGGGGGGGGTATTTTTTTGCTACATAAATGGAAAAAAAGACAAAACATTATGAAAAAAAATTTTAAATTTTGCAAACATGTAATTTGTCTTCTTCACTGATGTGCGCTGATGAGCTACACTGAACTGATGGGCGGGCACTGAGGAGGCTGCACTGATGGGCGGGAACTGAGGAGGCTGCACTGATGGGCGGGCACTGACGAGGCTGCACTGATGGGCGGGCACTGACGAGGCTGCACTGATGGGCGGCCACTGACGAGGCTGCACTGATGGGCGGGCACTGACGAGGCTGCACTGATGGGCGGCCACTGACGAGGCTGCACTGATGGGCGGGCACTGACGAGGCTGCATTGATGGGCGGGCACTGACGAGGCTGCACTGATGGGCGGGCACCGACGAGGCTGCACTGATGGGCGGGCACTGACGAGGCTGCACTGATGGGCGGGCACTGACGAGGCTGCACTGATGGGCGGGCACTGACGAGGCTGCATTGATGGGCGGGCACTGACGAGGCTGCATTGATGGGCAGGCACTGACGAGGCTGCATTGATGGGCAGGCACTGACAAGGCTGCAGGCTGACGGGCAGGCACTGACAAGGCTGCATTGACGGGCACTGACTATCAGTGTAAATGCTGCTACTCACTGTGCCCCCTCAAATCATCTCTCCTTTCATAGTTAACCCCCGGTTTACATATCTGCGTCACTGCGGGCCGAATTTTGCGTAGGCACGAGAACCCATTTATTTGAATGGACTCCTGTGCCCCGGGACACGCAGGGAAGAAGTCCCTGCACTTCTTCTGAAAACACAGCCGAGGTTCCCAGTACGGTTGCGACTTCCAGTGCGGGTGGCGTGCCATTAGAACTAATGGCACCCGCCCACGGGTCCGCATTCCCCTGTGAGGGTGGTGCAGCTGCACGGATCCGCAGCGGCACCACCCGCACAGATGTGAACCTAGCCTTACATAGTGACAGCTGTGATTGGCCGTTTACCCCGATCTTTGATCAGCTGTGTCCAAAGCATACAGCGGTCACAGAGCGCGCCCGATGCGTGCACATGGAAGGGCTTCCTCACAGGACTGGAGATCCGCGCTGCAGCAGCCTATCAGCTATAGCGTGGATGGAAGGTTAACGTGACACTAAACTCTGGCGAACCACTTCCCTACAACGTGGCTCTCCAGTTTTGGGAGGACATCTGTGGACATCCTTCCACGCGTGCGTCCCCTGGGGCAGGCATCGGGCGTGCCCTCCCACATGGAAGAAAAATATATTTTTAAAAATATTCTTCCAAATATACTGTCATATATTTGAAATACTACAATTTTGTCCGTATTAGATATATTTAAAATTTTATATATACAGTTACAAGAAAAAGTATGTGAACCCCTTGGGATTACGTGGAGTTTTGCATGAATTGGGCATAAAATGTGCTCTGAACGTCATCTAAGTCACAACAATAGAAGAACACAGTCTGCTGAACATAATACTACACAAACATTAGATGTTGCCATGGTTTAATTGCACATAACATGTAAACATTCACAGTGCAGGGAGGAAAAAGTATGTGAACCTTTGGACTTAATAACTAGTTGACCCTCCTTTGGCAGCAATAACCTCAACCAAACGTTTCCTGTAGTTGCAGATCAGACCTGCACAACAATCTGGAGTCATTTTGGACCACTCCTCTTCACAAAACTGTTTCAGTGTAGCAATATTCTTGGGATGTCTGGTGTGAATCGCTCTCTTAAGGTCACGCCACAGCATTTCAATGGGGTTGAGGTCAGGACTCTGACTGGGCCACTCCAGAAGGCGTATTCTGTGCTGTTGCAGCCATTGTTTTGTTGAATGACTTGTATGCTTTGGGTCATTGTCCTGTTGCATCACCCATCCTCTGCGGAGCTTCAGTTGGCAGACAGATGGTCGTACGTTTTCCTGCAAAATGTCTTGATAAACTCTGGAATTCATTTTTCCCATCAATGACAACAATCCGTCCAGGCCCTGAGGCAGCAGCAAAAGCAGCCCCAAACCATGATGCTCCCTCCGCCATGTTTCACAGTGGGGATGAGGTTTTGATGTTGGTGTGCTGTGCCTTTTTTTCTCCACACATAGTGTTGTGTGTTCTTCCCAAACAACTCAATCTTGGTTTCATCTGTCCACAGTATATTTTGCCAGTAGTGCTGTGGAACATCCAGGTGCTCTTTTACAAACTTCAAGCGTGCTGCAATCTTCTTTTTGGACAGCAATGGCTTCCTCCGTGGTGTCCTCCCATGTACTCCATTCTTGTTTAATGTTTTCCTTATTGTAGATGTGTCAACAAAAATGTTAGCATGTGCCAGAGATTTCTGTAGGTCTTTAGCTGACACTCTGGGATTCTTCTTTACCTCATGCAGCATTCTGCGCTGTGCTCTTGCAGTCATTTTTACAGGACGACCACGC